AAGGTCAACCGCCAACTCCATCAACTGTTGCCACCAAGGTTGGGCCGTCCAGTACGGCACGACTAGGGTGAGGCACGCTCCCTCCTCGCGCACTTTCTGCACCACAGCGAGCAAGAAGTCGGGGTCCAAGGGTGGGCAGCCATATGCATTAAGCCCTGCCCAAGATTGCAAGAGAGCATTGACCCCCGATGAACCCGGACAATGGTGGCGAGAAAAGAAAACCGGGAGGTGCGTGTTAATATGCGTGGCAAACAAGTCGACATGGTGCGGACCGAAGCGGTGCTCCAAAAGGCGGAAAAACCGGGGATGCAAGCGGTAATCATCACGGTCTACCCAACGCGAGGCTTCATCTGCCTCGTTGTCAGCACTAGCCACACGCTCGACTTGTAGAACAATACTATGCTTCGGCATGAATTCCCATAATAATTTTAGTTCGGCATGCAGAGCTGCCGAGCGCGAAGAAGACGCCCTAGCACTGCTTGCGTGCACGTGTTGTCCTCCCTAATTAACACAACACGCTGCTGAACGAACGGGAGGAAGGACTCTAAAGCATGACGGACAGCGCGCAACTCCTTCCAATTGATGTGCGCGTAGAGCTCTGGTGCCGACCAATAACCGCGCGCCACACGACCATGCAGGACCGCGCCCCACGAATGGCATGATGCATCCACTGAAAGCTCAACTGCAGCAGGCCCCTGGTGAATAGCCGCCGAGCAGTGGTGGGTAGGGATGTCCGCCCACCAATCTAAGTCACGTAACGACCCACGGGACAAGCGAACTCGACCGGACCAGCCAACAGGTTGCTTAATGTCGTCGTAAAAATTGCGGAGAAATAAAGGCGCTGGGGTAAGGGCCAATTTGACACTCTGCGCAAAACCACAAAACTTAGCCAGCTCACGCTTCTGTACAAGACGCCGATTTTTCTTTGCCGTGATCCGCAACCCGATCGCCAGCCGCCGCAATTTGGCGAGCTTCTGCTTAGGCACCTCAAACACACCAGCTGCCGTATTGATCGTAATGCCTAAATGGTACACTGACTGCGACGGCTCCCACTGGCACTTGGTGGGGTGGCACGACAACCCCAAGAACTCGATACTCTCACGCACCCAGCGTGCACCAAGACGCGCTTGCTCCTCAGACCTAAACACGAAGAGGAAGTCATCCAAATACGGCAGCACTCGCGCACCCGGACGAGAAGGACGCCCTGTCCGGGAAACGGGAAAAAACTGGTGGGGCGGGAGCGGGGGCGAGAGACGCTTGCGACCTTTACCCGACGCAGCCAAAGGATCCCGCCAAAAACGCACCACATTGCGCATGATTTTCGTAAACCAATACGGGCTATTTAGCCACCCCATAGGCAGGGCGTTCATCTCGTACAGAACACCACAAAAACGAAAAGTGAAGAAACGCCGATCCGCTGGGCGAATAGGGATGTGGTAAAAGGCGTCCGCCAAATCAACCTTCACCATCCAGGAGCCCTCGAGGCCCATACGCCGCAGAGTGCGGAGGGTTTCATACCGGCACTTGTAAGCTTTCTGCGCTACGTTCATCCTCTTCAGGTTGACGACCAAACGCCAAGAACCACTGTCCGGTTTCGGGACACAAAAGGCATTCACCACATGATCAACCGCACGGGAGGGGTCTACCCGCGAGATGGCCCCGAGCGCCACCAGGCGAGGCTCCTCCTTCTCCAACCACCAACGGCTCTGCTCGTCTGTAGCAGGAAAACTTGGCAGATCAAAAGCAGGCGGGGGGCGGTTACCTCGAAACTCCACCGGGACACCATGCTTCAAGACGTGCAATGTGCGCGCATCTGCTCCAATTGCCTTCCAAGCGGCCAGCCGCGCCGAGGCCCTAGCATGCAGGGGCACGGAGGTGGTGGACATATCGGACTACTCGTGCTGCCCCGGAAACTCCACGCCTGGGGTTGTAGAGCCCGTCGCCACGCGGAAGGGATGGGACGAAGCGCACACATAGCCACCACCGGTGTGGGCGGACGTCGATTTCCTGATCCGCTGAAGAGCAAACCTTCAGCGTCGCGCCCAAACCTCGGCGATGAGCTTGATGAAATACGTCGTCAAGCGGACATTTAGTGTTGTAGCTGCAGGGGCAAGCTTGTTGGGTCCGGGGTGGGCGGGAGTTGTTGACCCGCTCTGGAGAAAGCAGGGGGCATAAACTGCGTCGCAGAAGCCCTCGAGGAAATGCCAGTCTGTGACATTCCAGTTAGCTATGTAGGATAGCTGTGAGTTGCCTCCACCAGCGGAGTCATGCCTAGCGATACCGGGACATGCGCCGCCACTAGCACTACCAAAGGTGCTTCAATAAGGTGGGCTAACTCAATGGTGCTAGTGCTTTATATTCTCCACTGCACTCTACCCGATGGGTCTCGCTGACGAGCCGAAGGCACAGCGGTATAGTAACAGAAAGCGCGCCGAAGGCGCGGGACCTGTTTTGTTGATCAGCGCGCGCTGAACAACAAAAACAAGATAAGCTAACTAGCTTAATGCGCGCAATAAATGACGGCCCTGAGGACACGGGCCGTTGCGAAACAGTTAGTCTAACAGTTACGCATTGGGCCTTACGCCCAACTAACCCAGCTTACTTAACGCAAGCTCGCAATAAACCCTCCGTACTTCGTCCCAAAAGCCAGGAGCGAATTTTACCGCACGGATGCGCGCGTGCGATTCGCAAAATGCGCCTGTACAAGTGTATATAAATTCCTGGCGGAAAGACCGAGGATCGCCAGCGCGTTGCGCAGGTGGGCATGTTGGCCATAGCCGCACGCGGCATGCAGCCCGGACTATTGCGTGGCTGCTTTGCAGTAACTGAAAGCACCGAAAGCCTACGTCGTAGCTTGCAACTCTGGGCTCGTGAAACTGCCGCGGGAAGAGGAAGCGTCTGGCGAAGAGGCAGTTGTATGCAGCACCTTGTTCAGAGTAAAGTCAAATTACAAAGTTGCGCAAAGTATAACATACATAAACTTAATTAAACATAAGAACAGATAAGACGTTTAGAGCCTTGTCGGTGACATGGACGCCGCTGTTGGCTTGGAACAGCTATTTGCTGTGCATAGGGACGTGCCCGCGTTAGCCGTGTTGCAACAGCTCAGGATGGATTTCAGCCAGCCAACAGCCTCAAGAGCTGCTGCACAACCACCGGGAATGTCTTCAGTTGGGCACGTGTAGTTTTGGTCGGCGGGGTCGAGCAACGTACGCAATGCGCACAGAAACCAAGGTGCAGCGTTCTGTAACATCGGTACGCGGTGGCAGCTTGCCGAGCACGAAATGAAGGGGGGGTCGCATCTCACCATTCAACTAAGCATGCATGTGCTCGGTTGAATGCTCGGTAGCGTGCGAGTTTACCCCTATCAGGATGTTTGTTTGCATATCCCTCCAAGCGAGAGGGCTTGGACCTATGCTGATGTTCGTTCCAAGAAGTGAACTGAGGACTGATGCTACGGTGAAAGATTTGCACGTAAATTCGCCCGTGCAATAAAACGCCCTGTAACTCGCTTACGCTAATCTCACATTCCAATATGCCACTGCACTTTCCTCTCCAGCCTGGCCACATTCTCTTCCTCGCAAACGTACTTGGGCACCTTACAATCCAACACCATACGTGCTTTGGAAACGCGGGCAGCTGCTTCACATGGACTCCCCTATTTCAGATAAAGCCCCGCGCCCATACGCAGGTATTTTAGGACTTCGGTACGCGTAGCAGTGCGGCAAACAAATGGCGACTACTGCTGGTCGAGTCATCAGTAATCGCAAGCCGCCGGGCAACTAATATCAGTATTAATTAGACCTGAATTGCTCCCTGTGCCCTGCATTACTAGTATGACGAAGGCGACGATGACGACACGCAATTGCGAAGCAAGGCGGGCTACCTCGACCGTACCGAAGAACACGGTGCAAAGGATGATTCAGGATGGCTTGAATTTCACTTGCTGCTGCGCATTAACATAGATTAAAAAGCCATAATCGATAACTTGAAATGTATAGGTTTCCTGAGCTTTGCAAAGTTAAACGGTTTTGGAACGTACGATGGACGAGCGGTTCTGTGCGGGTGAGCTCCTTTTTTAGTTGCGAAGCGCCTGTGTTTGCTACTTTTCGGAGGACATCGTAGCGCTCCTGGACACGCAGGCTTTGGACCTTACGGTCTATTCGTGAGGCGTTTTACTGCTGTCGTCCGTGGGTACGTCAAATTTCCTTCCCCAACCTGCTTTCTTTATTACCGCCCCAGTGGGGCCATCGTGTGCTCAGCGTGTAACAGAGTCTTTGCAGAAAACCAAGCACGTCTTGGTCACCTTGAGTATGACTTTTCCTTCCTGCCTTGCTTCCGTCTGCGCTAAAAACGTCCACACTACTTCCGCTTCCGGAACCGAATCCCTTCGTTGGCTGCGACATTTATGGCGGTGGCCCGCATCAGTAGTATTAAAGTGCTAAGTACCATGCGTATATCCCTGCAAGCTATATACCCCTGCTGCAGCTTCGGTACGAAACCAACGATTCTACGTTTTGCTTCGCAAATGCAATTTTATCAACTCCTCGGAAAGGTCAAAACCACTCAAACCGCTTCGTTGTTCTCATTCGTCAGGTTACTGGGGGGCGGGCTGCGTCTACGCATGTGTACATACAACTGAATGGGCCGTATGCCCCTTGGAGTTCCGCACGCCATCGAACCCGACGTATGGCGGGCTCCTTCTACGTCACCAGCTGCCGCTGCTGCTATAAATAGGAGCGTCGGTTATTTTTCTGTCGTCTTTAGACAGGGGACCCAATTACCGACGAGGTCGTATGATGGACGAGTAGTTGCTACAAGCGGCATAGTTACTAGTACTGCACCACAGACGGAACAATTCGAGTGTGTGCATCTGTTTTCACGAAATAGTGCCAGCAGGGGAGGGAGCTGCCAGTGATACCTTTCCTTCTATCGGCACTATATCACATCACTTCACCATTGTGATATCATAACCAACATCCATAGTTGAAATAGCGACGATGCGACAACTGCGAGGAACGGTGTATCTCCTTTCGGGTTTAGTGTTGGCGCTCATTGCACAGTTCCGTGAAGTGAGGTCGAGTCACTTCCGTGGCGGCTTAATCGAGTACCGCGTCAACCAAGCGAACAATACTTTGGATGTCGCCGTGACGTCATTTTGGCGGTACGTATGCAAGGCTTCACTGAACAGAAGGGTGATACGGTACTAGGTAGGTACTGCTGATTCATGATGAGATGCAAGAGCAACGGCGGCACACTATAGACTGCAAATACAATAAGTGGATGTGTCTAACCTGACGGATGACTGATTGCTTTATTATGCTGTGGATGTAGCAATAACTAGGTGCTTTGTTGAAGTGGTAGGGTGCCAGCTTCCTCAACTTGGGAAAAAGCGTGCACCCACCCTTCGTGTGGGGTGCCCCACAGGAAGGACCAGTGAGAGGCCCCTCGTTACTGTACATCTGTACAGGATGATACTTTGGGTTTCCGTTGGCCTCCAATCGCTCCTAGCCTTTGCACTGAGAGTGCTGAGGGCCTCCAATCGCTCCTAGCCTTTGCACTGAGAGTGCTGAGGACTTGAGAACGAAGGGGGGATGTTGAAGGGTGAATGTTCAAGCGCCACCCCAATTGCCCGATAGTATAAGTTTGGTCATCATAATAGCTTGTGCTAGAGGATCTTCAAGTACATTGTTCGGGAGTCTTATTGGAGCCGTAAGTTATGCTTTATTGTAATGGACGGACTGCCGCCGCCAGGCTACTAGGATGGCGGAGGCGTGGCGCTTCATGCTGTTAAGCCCCACCGCCCTCACGCCGGCGGTCAAACTCTGTCGGCTTGTTTTGCTCTTCCTGAATGGCATTGTGCAATAATGTGCACTTAATGGATGCTGAAATTTGCTTGATTGCAGGGGCGACAGTCCCGATACTGTTAGTGTATACGACAGCGGTGGCTCCTACCTCTTTACCACGAGTTCGGGTGACACCGTTGGAGATGGCTACGACGCTTTGGGTAATAGTTACGTGGTCTTAAGGTTCGTGGCATATTCAGCATCCTCATGCCTTGCTTGGTCCTACTTATTGTTCGAGGCCTACTGGATTTGGTATGTGCGTGAATCAAGCATGCATGCACTGCCGCTCATGTAAAGCAACAGCATCACTACCAGTATCACAGCAGCCAAGCGTCCAGCAGGGCCTCTACATATTGCGTGCAATCGTGCATGCATGTGGTTGACAGGCATCTGCATGTTCACCGTTTTAGTTCATCCTCATACATATATACAAGCTTGTGACTGGATGGTTCCATCTTTAGTTCCCATGTAGAGTTCACACTGCCTTACCGATAACTGCCCAACCTGCATATGCCACATAGCGAGATAGCTGGCTGAATGCGGATGGCTGAACGAACATCTAAACCTATGCTACTCGCTCATGTAGCCCTGGTGGGGATCTGTAGCAGTGCACAGCAGTGCATCACGGTACGGAATAGTTGCAGTGCAGCATCTATGTATACATGCTCTGCTGCCGGTTGCTGCAGGACTGTCGGCTCAGTTGCACTTCCCTCAAGTGCTGAAGAGATTTATTCATCCGGCTGTTGCCGCCTCGGTGGCCTTTATGGTGAAGTATATGATTACTCGTTGGACAATTTTCGCTTTGCCGTGAACTATGTCCCCGGCGTGAGTTCGTCAATCATCGCCCAGGTGCCGGCCGTCATGCTCATTGACAAAGCAACGAGCTCAGGGGTAAGGACGACAACAAGGGCGGGGAACGTGTGCACAGGCGGGACCTGTCTGACATGTATCATAAAAAGGGGCGGGGAGTTACGTATGTAGGTAAGCGGAATTCTAGGGTATGGAGCATATGTCATTTGCATGGCGCCAGGTGAAGTGTCTCTAGGCGGTTCAGGCCCCGCCCCAGCCAGTCCTGCGCCACCCAGCCGCCTCACGCGGGTGGCACTGCCTGTAAGACCAGACAAAGAGTAGGTGCCAAGGGGAGCTGATCCCTTCCCAGGAGTGGTGCCCCACTCAAGCAAACACGCTAGGGATTGTTTTTACTTTATTTCGTCCGTCTAAGTCCGAGTTGGAGATTTTCTATTTTTGGGCGAGGCCCCGGGCGCGAAGCGCCATTCGGGGGGCCGAGCCCCCCGGGTTCACTGCTGTCAGTCAGTCAGTCAGTGGCTTACATATCTCGCCCCGAAAAATATAGCGTTTGGATGCTATATCCATTCTATATCGAAATGCCAAAGGAGACATTCCAGAAAAATCGGAACGCGAAGATAGCTTTCCATGGCGCCGAGTTTGACATAAAGTTACATATCTCGCTCCGCAAAAGATTGAATGTAGAAGCTATATCTATTCTACATCCACCTGCCAAAGGAGAAATTCCAGATAAATCGGGGCGCGACAAAGATAGCTTTCCATGTCTCCGAGTTTGACATAAAGTTATACCATCTCAAAGCTATTCACAACAACAAGTGTGTACTCCGAACATAACGGCGTTCTTGTGCTTGCATTCCTATGCCGTACGGACCGCCCTGCGAATTAAACGGGGAGCAAGTGGCTGCACCGGGACCGAGCCCCTTTTCGGCTTTGAAAAGCCGCCCCCCTAGTCTCAGCATGTTAGACTTGTCGCCCACCCTGGGATCTACTTTGCTTTGGTTAAGGAGGGTGCAACATAATGTAGTATCCTGTGTATCACGGGATCGGACATCCGCCGATCGGTTCTTTTCTGAAAAAGACGTGGTACATGTAACACCAGGCAAAGCGTACTCAGTTGGGACATGCCAGGGGAGCTGATCCCTCTTACATTCCTCCCCCCCTCGGCGCCCCCAGGCATATCCCGTAGGATTTTGGTTGTTTGAGATCCCGTAGGATTATGTATTTGTTTGTTATTGACATTTCGTCAGTCCCCGTCCGAGATGGCGGGCTTTGTTTTTACTCAGCTGGTAGACTTCTCGCCCGCCCGGGCATCCACCTTTGGGGTAAGAGTATGCTGCATCATGCCTGGTGTGCGATATGTTCGCATCCGGATGCGATCCGGGGAGTTCCCACCTCCTAGCAATTCGCATCAATGTAACACCAGGCAAAGCGTACTCAGTTGGGAGATGCCAGGGGAGCTGATCCCTCTTACAGTACAACACATAATGTCTCGAGAGCTTCAGGTTCATAGTCAGGATTGGTCTGGGGAGTTCCCATTATCCTGCTAGCTGGCAACTTGCACCAATGTAAAAGTACTCACAGAAATGCCATGGGAAACCAACTCTGTACTACACTGCCCTATTACATACACTAGCTCATTACGTCACAGATAACTTTATTGAGCTTAAGCTTGCCGCGCAGCATTGCATTGGCGAAGCATTCCAATGTAAATAACTTTACATCCTCGGTGGATGTGTATGCGTGTGTGTGTTACATGGTTGGGGGTGCATGGCCCCATACCTGTAAGACTACCCATACGAGCCGAAGGCCCAAGGGCAATATTACAACGCCTAAAAGCCACGGAGGAAAGGATAACACCGCACATCAGCCCAGATTAGCGTCCAAAGGGGGTAATTGAGTTTCGGTGAGCCCACATACGTTCCAACATCCTCGCCAGACGTGCAGGTTCCCATTGCATGGCTTCCAACATGCTCTGTTGATGATCGAATCCCTCTTCAGCACGAATATCATTATAGGCTGGGCATTCCAATAACACGTGTTTTTCAACCTCAATTCGGCTATTAGTACCACAACAGTGGCAAAACCGCTGCCCCCTGGGGACATGGTACTTGCCCCTTCGTGCTCTGTTTGCCTCCAAAGCCCAGCAACATAAACGAAACTGCATTAGCTTACGATGTGCTAAACGAGGAACGAAAACCTTAGCGTGTGTTGGCCACATGACGGCTGCAGCTCCCGAAAAGGGCAGCCCCATCCAGTGCTTATACTTCGCCATTTGCACTCCCGGTTGCTTCCCATCTGATGGGTACTCCTCTGGCAAGACAGTCAGACGCGTATGCATACCACATGGTCCCAGCCGCGCATCAAACGCTCTCTTAGTGCCGTTATCATCGCTCCTTCGGAGGTCTACACAACAACCAGTCAACACGCTCCTTTACCCCCATGACTTCTTGCGGTATTCCGCTCCAAATGTTGCACTCCAAGAAGGAAAACAGTCGTAACATTGGATGTGTATGCATCCTTTGTTTCGTCACCACGCACATGCCTAAGTACACGTGCACCGTGCACGTCACATATTTGCTGGTGTTAACACGCAACGTCGCCCAGCCACGATGTGCATCTTTCTGCTTCATGTCTCCATACAGGTTAATGGGTTGTTGTTGTAGTTAGTCATACGACGTGAAATTGAAGGTTAGAAAGTATCAATCAGCTTTACAAGTAGTAATGGGTATGGGAAGCAAACACCAGTGGATCCAGAGGATGCATGACACTGGGCTGAAGAAGTACTGATGATGGCGGAGCGCTAGATTTGATGTCGCACTTACATGGGCATCTGCCCTGCCTCCATTTGTATGCTTTGCTAACAGGCCTATAACTACACCTTCGTGTCGGCCGTCAGTTCCCACGGAGCGTCCATCGACTGCTCCATCAACACAGGGCTCGCCAATACAGTTGCTGTGAGTTGTTGCACTGCTTCTATAAGTAACATAATAAAAGCATGCATGCGCACATGCTTGCCTGCATTTCAAGATGTGCTGCCATGCATGTGCTGTGGTGTGTGTGCATGATGCATGTAAGCACGGTATTAGCTGGCCGCTGAAAAGGCCTCTCGAGATGCTGGTTGAGTGATTCGCGTGTATTTGTAGTTGATATGTGTGCTGTACTGTGTACCATCTACTACAAGCACGCACACCTGCCTATCGATCCTGTAATCACATGCTTGGCTGGCACAATGATGATGTGCGCATACTTGTGCATTCAGTTCCAGGAATCCATCGTTTTGCCGCCCCGCTGTTGAATCTATCCACCTTCCGTACCGTATGTCACCATCGAGTCACGGTAGTGCATATTTGTGTGTGTGTGGTTGTCACAGTGGGTTCCAGACTCACGAAGGATAGGGCCAGCGGGCTAGCGGGCCGTGCACTGCACCTGAGACGATTAGGGCAAACGAGACACCCACCCAGACCAGACAAGGCAAACTTAGACCTCAGAAAGCAAACCCAAAAGAAAGGCTCAAAAACCCACAACCACTGGGGACTTAGGCTCCCCAATTGGCGAAAGTCCTCGGACCTCCAACAGAAGGCCCACCAGCAATTACTGACAGGAGACTTGCACGTTGTTACTGGATGAGGCCTGTGCCCCAAAAGTCGCCTAATTAAAAGAAACCAATATAAAGAAGCAAAAACAGGTGATAGCTAATCATCCATCGGTGGCCGCTCCCGTGCACGTTCACGTTCACTCATTTACAAAAAGGGGTGACCCAACAGAATCGCATCCTTTCCATGGAACTCCCACAGCTGTGAAACTCCGAAGCGGGCCCAAAAGTCAACCACAACTCGATCAATGGCTCCTTCTGTACGACAAGGGCTGGCGAAAGTTGCATGTCAGTCGCTATTTGAACAGATAACTCTTAAAGTCTGATGGGGGGCCCTCCACCCCATCGCCAACCTAACCTCGACACCAGGGTTTGTTTAACAGACTCAATGGACGGCACCGTACTATTGTAGCTGCGCTGGATTCTGCACTGAGAGACAACAATAGACTAACCGCCTGCCCCAAATGTGCTGGGATATCAGCTTAGGGAGCGACAATAGCATTAAAATGTGTTCAATGTATATGCATCCCGCAATATTGACCTGCTCCATGCTGTGGAATGTTGTACTACTTAAGTGCACGCCTGCTATGTCTGTGATACTGCACATACTAAATCCTAGCGATGGCGATCATCACTTAGGTAGTAAGGCGGAACAAAACTCTAAGGAGCGAGGGATGTTTGTCTCAAAATAGAGTGCTGTGCATTCCGTCCATCATACACACATCCTTGCTTACCTAGCTAGCTAACATTCCTAACGCCTTAGCTTGCTTGACCTCGTCTCACAAGATTCCCTAAATTTATTGTATTTCCTTTGTTGCGCTGATGCCATTGCAATCTCACACGATATGTACGCCTTGACGCGCGTGCACAGGGGGAGCTAACTGTTTCGACAGTGTCAGGGGGATGCAGGTGGGCAGGTGGGGGTTGTCTTAGGGTTAGTGAATCGGTTTAGTTAATTTATAGTAAAAGCATGTCTTACATAAGTGGCTGATCAAATGACGAAGAAGCTTCGTCCGGCACCTGATGCTGATCTACGAAGCAAGGAATGTCCGCCTTTGTGTTGTAGAGTTCAGACGACACAACCACATAATGGGGGCATCGAAAGATCCGTTTAGGCATTTTTATTTCACGCTGATCCAACGCGCAATAATCCATTTCTGTATGTGTTTTATAGGTGGATAAGGAACGATTAAGGAACGATTAAGGACGGATTAAATATTGAATTGAATTTTTTGAATTGTTACAGAGTGGGAGGCTTCTGGGCCATTTGAACATATTGTCATTTCTACGATTTATCATACCATACAGCACCATCCACCATTACCACACTGTACTACGTCATACGAACTGGAAGTCCAAGGCGGTTGATCCTGCCTTCTAGGATCCCTCCTCATCCATTCACCCGAACATCCGCAGAGACAGAGGGTTCAGCAATCGCCACCAATCCTGCGTGCGAATCTCGATCCATCAACTGTGATCTCACTCCACATCTCAGCAGCTAGCCATAATCTCACGCTCCCGACAATGTCGGGGGTCTCCCCAGGAATCGAAGCCAGGACCTTCAACTGTATAGGACTGTAATGTCGCCCAGATCAAACCATTAAAATTTTGATACCGTTACTCGATTAGGATTTAAAGGGGGAACCCCTGAAGGGGGAACCCCTAAAGGGGGAACCCCTAAAGGGGGAACCCCTAAAGGGGGAACCCCTAAAGGGGGAACCCCTAAAGGGGGAACCCCTAAAGGGGGAACCCCTAAAGGGGGAACCCCTAAAGGGGGAACCCCTAAAGGGGGAACTCGTGCTGTGAGCATACGGCCCAGGCCGGATGGTAGCTTTTCTTCCCTCTTCCCCTTTAGTTCCCCTTAAGAGGATGAACTCCATCCCCGAAGGGGAACCAAAGGGGAACCCCTTCGGTTACTTTGCTCATCATCGTCCCCTAAAGGGTTGTCCCCTTTAGTTCATCTCCTAAAGGGTTGTCCCCTTTAGTTCATCTCCTAGAGGTGTTGTAATAAGACGCAGTAATCCGCGGTTCATAACTTGGTACTTGCTCCCGTCGTCGTCGCCGCCGCCGCCGTCCAAGTAGCAAATATATTTTTCATTGTACTTGTGCCATTTACATGGAAAGAACGCGTATATTATAGCTCCATAATAAAAAAATAATTCGCCAAACGCTCGTAGACGGCGTACAACGGTCACGAACCCCGCCATCGTTAACCTTGCTTCCTGATCCGTGTTAATCCGCGGGATGTTTCCATATGCCACGCTTTAATCCATAATCCGTGACTTTTTAATCCAAGTGGAAACACCCCCTTAGATAGATCGTTCGCACACACAGCAAGCTAATGCATCGTTTGTAGGGGTTAGCATAGCATAGGTAGCAAGGCAGGTAGCTAATTGGAACTCGCTCGCATTACTGCTTGCTTCCCAAAACTCGAATCCGATTCATCTACTACCCTTTCATCTTTAGCACATAACACTTACCTGCACCCTTTCTAAAGACTGATACCTGCTTCTTGGTCACGCCGGGGTTATGATGATGTTTGCATGCTCCATTTACGGCGGACACGGCAGTCTTGGATGGCGCAGCTCTGGCTACAATTATGGTGCCATGACTGGCGTTGGACTTCGGATAACTGAACCGTCCACGGGACACTACGTTGATATCACCTTCCTTCTGGTGGGTTGTGTACGCATATCTGTGTACATGTATGTACAACTTTGTGTGTGCATGTGCGTCTGTATGTATGTGCTGCTGGTGTGTCTGTGCATGTCTGGCATATCTAGCGCTATGCCGGCGGTGTAGTAGCTAGTCGCGAAAAAGCCTCTCTAGATGCTGGGAATGCGCTCTAGCGGGTATATGTATTGATGATGTGGGCCGTACTGTACGACAGTTACGACACTGCACCTTCTCAAGGGGATAAACCGTCTGGGGCCCTCTCAGGTCCCAGCCACACACCAGCAGCCTGCGCCCACCTTCTCCTACCCTTGGGCAGTGGGTCGCAAATCCACATCACGCATGCACTCATCCATTACTGTCCATTCATGGATCCGATACACAGCCGCAGGCAGCATACCATGTGAAGTACCAGTAGAAACACCAGCACGGCAACAAATTAAGCTAGCACTGCCGTCTTACTTCCACTCCTTCCTGCCTGCCGCTGTATTCACGATTATCATATGCCACTTGTGTATGTGCAGATGTTGGCGGACTTGAGCGGTCTGCCTGTGGTCTCCTCAGTCAATGTTTTGGAGACTGGTCAGGTGCTGCCGCAAAAAGGCGGAAATGTCAACGTCTACGTGGGGACACCTATCACGGTGCGATGCATGCATGTCTATTTCCGACATGTTTAGGCATGTTGCCCGTTTGATCATTTGTTTCCCGTGTTTGCGGGTGGATGTACTTGGATAAGCATAAAAATGGCATGCAGTGACAGGTCTAGCACAAAAACACTGCTGCTACATTATGCGTGGCTGCTGTGTGCGCGTGGCTGTGTTGCGTGAATTGCATATCAGCATATGCCAAACGGTTAAGAGAGAGAACGAATGAGTGTGTATATGTGTATGTGGGTGTGTGGGTGTGTTAAGGTTACAAGTATCTGACCGGGCCTGACACTGGCCTGGGGTTGCTGTCCAGCCCCAATGGAAAGACCGCCTAAGTTCTCCCGCGGACGGGAGGGCCCGTGAGGGGGGCGTCTGTCCCCTCCTAAGCAGCCGAGAGCCACAGGTCGGCTAGCTCCACTCTCCTCCCCCGGGGGTTGGGAAGCGTCGTATGCACGCATGCTCTCACGAGTCAAGGCTCTGTCATACGAGTTTGCGCATTGAGCTTGGGACACGAAACAAGACTCCTCTCCTCATCCCCGGCCTGATCCTGAGCGCTTGGGGTGAGGGTTCCCTAAGACTGAGGGAAACCGGAAAACCTGTACATACCCTACGAGGCCCTCAGATACCTGCATCTGGACTCCGAGTAAAATTTCTTATTTCCTTTTTCTTTTTCCTTTTTCCTTTTTTCTTGCTCCTTACGGTACCTCACATCTTGGTACTCATCCCTATGGCATAAAAAGAACCCCCCTGTGCAGGCATTACCCACCCGCTACCCTACCCAACCCGCCCTTACTCCCACCATAACTCAGTCCCTTGGTATGGGTAGGGTTAGGGTGCCCTTATCCTACCCACACTATCTACCCTTTACTAACCCCTAGACAACCCAACCCGGCCCCTTCCGTGGATTACCCACAGCTTATTACCCTTATCTCTCCCAGCTCAGATTCTAGTGAGACATCAGTTCTGATGAGCGCTCCATTAGATGTTACATTTGCACCAGCTTAACTCGGCGTTGCCTGGGCCTTACGCGCATTGTGTAACACCTGTGTATATGCAGGTGGTGTTTACTGTGACGGACCCCAATGCTGGTAATGTAATCACAGCCTCAAGCAGCTCCTTGCCGTCTGGAGCCACCCTCACAACCACACCCAGCAGCGGTGTCGCACCCGTAAATGTGACCTTCAGCTGGACCCCTAGTGCCACCTCCCCTGCCTCGGGTGTCGTAACTATCAGCTTCATGGATAACACCTACTTGACTGCCAGATCCACCTTCAGCTTCGCTGTGCTGCCCTCGCCACCTTCTCCCCCTTCAGCACCGCCCCTTCCACCCTCCAATCCCTCTCCACCGAGCCCTCCATCCCCCAGTCCCCCTTCACCCTACCCTCCATCCCCCAGTCCCCCGTCTCCTCCACCACCGAGTCCTCCATCCCCCAGTCCCCCGCCTCCTCCTTCACCGAACCCTCCATCCCCCAGTCCCCCGCCTCCTCCTTCACCGAACCCTCCATCCCCCAGTCCCCCGCCTCCTCCTTCACCGAACCCTCCATCCCCCAGTCCCCCGCCTCCTCCTTCACCGAACCCTCCATCCCCCAGTCCCCCGCCTCCTCCTTCACCGAACCCTCCATCCCCCAGTCCCCCGCCTCCTCCTTCACCGAACCCTCCATCCCCCAGTCCCCCGCCTCCTTCACCACGTCCTCCTCTCCCATTATCACCACCACCACCACCACCTCCACCTCGCATTATCTCACAGCTGACACTACCACCACCGTCCCCTATCAGCCAGCCGCCCTCGCCCCTAGCTCTTTCCTCGGGCCTTTCACCTCCACCTCCATCACTACCGTCCCCTGCTCCACAGGCAACCTCCACTTCCCCGCCGCCACATGCACCTCCTCCACCGCCCCCAACCCCATTTCCCAGCCCCCCCCTTCCTCTTCCTCCTCCTCCTCTTCCTCCTCCTTCTCCTCCTCCTTCTCCTCCTCCTCGTCCTCCTCCTTCTCCTCCTCCATCCCCCACACCATCACCTCTCGCGCCCAAGCGTCTGCGTTCGCCTCCTCCTCCTCCTCCTCCTAGCCCCGCACCAAGTCCCGCACCAAGTCTTGTACCAAGCAACACGATGCTTGTGAGCTCCTTCCCCTTCGGCAGCGGCTGCATTCTGGGACGCGACGCCACGCAGTCCCCGGTGCGCTTGTCTGCACCTGTGGGGCCTATGAATGTCACCTCCAGCACCGCCACCTACTGCCTCCTCATCAGCAGCAACGCCTCACTAGTTAGCCCTACTGCTGAGTGCGCGGGCATGGACACCGTACGCAGAGTCGACATGGTTGTGGGTAAGTGATAACGAACTAACCAGCTAGCCGGATGAATTAATTAGCTGGATTTCCATATGTGATGTCTGTGTGTCACTAAATACCCCTGAGTCGTATTTATAGAGGCTCACTTTTCAGTGCCCATAACGTATAATAAGAGGGGATGTACTAAGGACGAGTCATGCGTTTGCAGGTGCCTACGTGTATGTATGTTGTTACAGGGTGGTTAACTTCGCCAGCGGCCCCCTTTCCCGGGGCAGTCCCTGCTCTCCCCTGCTAGAGGGGCACCCTAATCCGTCACCCCATCCGACTTCAGAATGTATTCGTTGGGTTCGGCAACTCACCACCAGCATCCAACCCTAATCTAGCGGATCAACGGCGCATCAACTTAGTTCCTGGTCAGCTCGCAAGTTGATATTATCACGTCCTACACCGTCCATATGATGGGGGGCCACCTCCCATTACATCACTCCTCAAACACCCGAGGAGCCGGCAGGCGGATTTGAACCCGGGTCGACTGGATCGACTGGGAGCAGAAGTCAGGCCTTAACCTCTGCCAGCCGCCTGCCTACGTGTATATATGCTGGGTGTCCGCGTGTACATACACATGTGTTACATATCACGACTTCAGAAAAGTACCGATCGGTGGATGCAGGTCCCCCAGATTAAAACAATATGTGCAGTGGCTTGTTTGCCGTGCAATCAAGCTTTAGCAAGAAAAACACAACTCCACAATTATGTATAATGTATATACCAAGCAAGGATGTTTTTAATATGCGTCATCATAAAGGAACTCTTAATTATCGTTGTTCCCATCGTTACCTTCACCTCCTGCTTCACTTGCTTTGGAAAAGCACATATGTCCACCCACAGACCATGTCTAAGACTTTGTACGGCCTTGTTCCCTTGATGCACGTTTATTGCCTTATCGTAGATGCAACGTGCGTGCAACAGAAGCCCAAGCCCATCACGGTAGTAACCGTCAACGGCCGTGTGCCACAGCATAACCTCCAGACAATCGATTATGATGGTGCAGAGTACGGCGTACTAACGATCAAACGGATTGATGCGTTGTTCCAGAGCATACCGGACAATGGGCTATCTGTGTGCCTGACTTTCAACAAGGCGCCTGGTAGCAGGTGCAATAGCCCCCAGGCTCTGTTCCGTGGTCCCACCATCGTGTACCAGATCACCAGCATTGACTTCATGTGCTGCCCCACGTCGGAGGCGCCGGAGTCCTGATGATGTATCATTGTGCAGCGTCGGCTATGTACTTGAGACCCATTTGTTGAATAACCAAACGTGTAATTTCCGTCTCACTCGACAAGAATCTTCTCGTTCCCGCTGCGAGCAAGAGAAAGGAAATTGTCAGCAACAGCTGAGGGCTGGAGGCTGACTGACTGGGGAGGCAAACAGTTCGAACATGTGTAGCTCAAAAGGCGCGCAACCGTGTAAGCACGACCACCTGAACGTTTTGCGCCTATCGGGTCCCCCTGCTACAGTGTAACCTGCCCAGGAGGTCCATATGACGACGTCTGTTGAGGAAAATGTTGTCCGGTCAGTCTGTCGCCTGCTGCTTGCGTGATTGTTGGTTTCTGCAGCGGTTCGGAGCCATCTTCCGTACTTGCTGTTCGACTGTCGAACTCGACAATAAATAAGAATGAGCGAGCGTTTATCTTTGGTCTGGTATGCTTGTAGAATAGTGAGTTGTGGCTGAGCTGAGCCGTTAGTTGCTTTTGTAACGCTCTGGCAATCACTATTGCATCCGATCCACTTAGCCTTTAACAACGTCCTTCCCAGTTTGGACTACCTTTTTGTGCACAGTGACGCGATGAGTACGCTGGTATGGGAGAGTTCGGGAGTGTATAGGATATACAGCCGCTAAGTATACAAGCAAAAGGGGGGGCAATGTAACGACGCAAGGCCCAACTGAGCATCCCGGATTACGCCTTTGCTTTGTTACAATGGTATCGAGACGGGGCCGCACGACTTCCGATGAAATCTTCGGGTCGGCGGTTCGATTCTGACAACAAGCAGGTATCGCAGAATGCGATACCATGGGTAATGGATAAACCAGCGCACAATGCGTGAGGTGGGATGGCACCAATGCTCGATACAATGGCCGCGGACGTCCATTGCTAAAGGGGGGGCAATGTAACGACGCAAGGCCCAACTGAGCATCCCGGGTTACGCCTTTGCTTTGTTACAAGGCTGATCAGCTGATCATCATGATGAAGGCCTAGCGACCACTGTTCTAACTGTGAATAGCGATAGAACTAAAGTTCGCTCAGCACGACATGCAAATACTTCACTTGATTCTTGAAATTAACTGTACATGTTGTATCAGTCGATGTGGTGTGGTTGTTACAGTGGGCTCCAGACTCCCGAAGAGTAGAGCCATCGGGCCAGCTGGCCGTGCACTGCAGTAGAGACTAATATACAAATTAGACCATCACCTCAGATAATTAACCGTTCATCGGTGACCGCTCCCGTGAGCATAGCAATTTGCCTGATATAATTCTCAAGAAGGGGTGATGTGCGCCAACAGAATCCCAACCTTTCCGTGGAATTCTGCGAAACCCTGAAGGCGGCCCCAAAAGTCAACAATAACTCGACAAATGGCTTCTTCCGTAAGGGAAGGGCCAGGTAACAGTGCCGGGTTGGTTTTCATGTTTGCAGCCATATATCGTCTCCCATGCTCCATGGCTGACACCGCAGCAAGAGCCACAACATCCCAAACACATTGTTGCACTGTTTGTGGGGCTTGGACAAGCCAAAGTTGCTCCCTTGAGACTGGCAATCCTATTGAAAGAGTGAGTTAATCTGCTACTGCCTGTGCCACCGGACAGGCCCAGAAGTGATGACAGCAAGGGGATACACCTCCCACTGAACCTACTGGATAACCTCCACAACCACACCCTACCAAAATGAAACCGCTTTAAGAGCGCTCCCAACGCGATCTTAAGCCATATAAAAGCACAAGTGGATGCCGCTGTTAAGAGCGTTCTGAGAACGCTCTTATCTGCCATGTTTTAAGATTGTGCCTTCTCAAGAGTTCTTAAGCGATCTCAAGAGAGCGCTCTTTGCAGGGGATCTCAAGCGTTCTCAGCGATCTTACCCCTTCTCAAGGACATTCTCAACCCATTTTCTCACGCATTCTTAAGCAATCTTTCACCACTCTCAAGCGTTCTTACACCGTTCTCTCACCATTCTTAAGCGTTCTTACAGCGTTCTCAAGCGTTCTTACAGCGTTCTCACAGCATTCTCAAGCGTTCTTACAGCGTTCTCAAGCGTTCTTACAGTGTTCTCAAGCGTTCTTACAGCGTTCTCACTGTTAAGATATAGGCGAGTGGAACTGTGTAGGTAAAGCCAACCTTAACCGTTACAGGTATCACAGAACAAACTTTCAGTCAGAACATCATCTCCTTTATACCAAACATTCCATCTTATCTGTCGCACAGCCGTTAGTGTTCTGGCCGGATGTCAACACTCCCCCTCGGACGGAACACTCGGGGGAATCCAACTCAACGAACAATGAGGTATTATATAGGTCTTCAAGCGTAAGCGGGATGAGCATGGAAACATCGAACGTTATCGTGCGCGCTTGGTAGCGCAAGGTTTTCGCCAAGAGGAAGGGATAGATTTCGATGAGGTATTTGCGCCTGTCGGAAAGCGCACCACCCTTCGTGCTCTGCTTTCTGTTGTTGCTGCACGTGGTCTAGTTCTGGAACAGATGGATGTCAAGACCGCGTTTCTTAACGGAGATCTAGAAGAGCCTGTGTTTTGCGGCAAGCCGCCAGGCTATGACCTTGGTGGACCTGATGATGCTTGTTTGTTTCACAAATCGCTTTACGGTCTGCGGCAGTCTCCGCGAGCGTGGTATGTTAAGCTCAAGGAGGAGTTGAGGAAGATGGGCTTCAAGCCTACTGCTGCCGATCCTGCTATGTTTGTCCGTGGCGAGGGGGATGATCGTGTTTATTTCTTGATCAACGTGGATGACTCCCTCACGGCTGCTAAATGCCAAGAATTGGTTAACGAGGTTAAAAGACGGTTGATGGAGGTTTTCGAGACGAGAGACCTAGGGCCTGTCGATCGTTTCGTTGGTATGGAGATCAAAAGAAGCGTGAACGAAAAGTGGCTGAAGTTGTCACAGCGGAAGTACACTGAAGGCCTGTTGTCGAAGTTTGGTTTTGTTGATGCCAACGGTCGCGCTACACCGCTTTCGCCTGGAGTTCAGCTTCGTGTTGCTGAAGAGGGGGATGAGTCTGTGGGTAACGAGTATCGCGAGCTAGTGGGCGGACTTATGTATCTTTCGTCCTGTACTAGGCCGGACATTTCTCAGGCCGTGGGAGCGCTCGCACGTCATATGTCGAAACCTACCAATGACCACCTTTTGACGGCTAAGGGTGTTTTGCGGTATCTTGCTGGTACGCGCGATTTTGGTTTAGTGTTCGAAGGGAACGGTGGCCTGCAGGGTTTTGCCGACGCTGATTACGCTGGTTGCCCTGATACCCGGAGGTCGACCACTGGCTTTGTGTTTTTGCATTCGAACGCGGCTGTTAGTTGGTCCAGTCGTGTCCAGCCTACTGTGGCAGTTTCGACTGCGGAAGCTGAATACATGGCTGCTGCGGCTGCTACGCGAGAAGCTTTGTGGTTGAGGCAATTGTTCCTGGAGTTGGGGGTTGACGCTAACTGCGTCAGCATAGCGTGCGATAATAAGGCTGCTATTTCTCTTATCGAGAATCCTGGTTCTTCGGTGCGAACTAAGCACATAGATGTCGCTCACCACTTCGTACGAGAGCGAGTTGAGCGAAGCGAGGTTTGTTTTCGTTATTGTGGTACGGCTGATATGGTCGCCGATTGCATGACGAAATCGTTGAGTCATGCGATGTTCAAGCGATTCCGTTTGGCTATGGGAGTGCGATAGTCGAACAGGCTTGCAGACTGCCCGCGTGGGAGTGTTGAGGAAAATGTTGTCCGGTCAGTCTGTCGCCTGATGCTTGCGTGATGCTTGGTTTCTGGATAGAGTGGAGCCATCTTCCGTACTTGCTGATCGACTGTCGAACTCGTGAATAAATAGGAATGAGCCAGCGATTATCTTTGGTCTGGTATGCTTCTAGAGTAGTGAGTTGTGGCTGAGCTGAGCCGTTAGTCGCTTTGTAAACGCTCTGGCAATCACTATTGCGTCCAAATCCATTCAGCCTTCAAGACTACCAACCGGGCTTTGTACCGTTCTACTTGTCCGTCTACACCCCGCTTCACGTCATGCACCCACTTCACCGGAATCGGTTTCACCCCAGGTGACGGTACCTTCAGCTCCCACGTATCTAATGCGTGGATAGATCCGATTTCTTGAACCATCGCCTCCTGCCATTTGTCCCGTTCCGGAGAGGCCATCACTTCTTCGTAGGTGCTCGGGGTTTTGACGTCCGATACGTTGACAGCAAGGTTGAGTCGTTGGGGTGGATGACGGTCACGTTGGAGGTAACGATGTTGTGTAGAGGCAGCTGCACCAGCCTTATCCTCCCCCTCAGCTGCCTTACCGACAGCTTTAGGTTTCCCCTTAGTGGAATCGGATGCACCGCCGGTAGCCGTAGGTTCCTCCTCAGGTGCCTCAGGTGCTGCGCCAACTACCATAGGCTCCCCCTCATTCAGCTCAGCTGAATCACCATTCACCGCGCTCCCTTGACTATCCTCTACGGCCTCGCTCGGACTAAGCTGCTCCCCTTGCCGGGCAGGGGCTGCAGTCTTGCAACTACTGCTAGCCACATCGTCCTCATCATCACTATCACTTCCGCTGCCGCTGCTTTCGCTATCATTCGTAGGCAGCGTGCAGGACGTTGGCGTCTCCTCAAAAAGCACGCTCCTGCTCACTACGATACGCTTAGACCCGTCCAATAAAATCCGGTATCCTTTGCAGTTGCGTTCGTAGCCCACCAACACACCCTTCTGGCTCGTGGCATCGAGCTTGTTGCGGTGCCTCCTCTCGACATGCACCCACACAGTACATCCAAACACGCGCAAATCAGAGACATCTGGTTTCACACGGTGGAAAACTTCAAAGGGTGTTATCTGCTTGCCCGACACAGGCGAACAATTATGCAGGGCACATGCAGTGGTAATAGCTTCGGCCCATAATTCATGCGGCAATCCTGAGTCTTGCAACATCGCGCGGGTCTTCTCCAGGAGTGTGCGGTTCAGCCTCTCAGCGCGGCCATTTTGCTCAGGAGTGTACGGCACGGATGTGTCGTGCTGGACCCCCTTACCGTTAAGGTACTGTCCTAGAGCCTTATTCAAATACCCTCCATGGCGATCCGACTGAACTGCTAGCAGCTTCTTGCCCGATTGGGTCTCTTAACAGCTGCAATACTTCCTGGGCCGCTTCCGGAACTTCTCCCTTCGTCCCTACACAGCACACCACTGCAAAACTCGAATGCTCATCCAGAAACGTGGCGACATACCTTGACCCGCCCATAGACGGAACAGGCATCTCACACACATCCATATGCACTCGCTGCAAAATACGGTTTGCTGCATTCCCAGACGGAGGAAAAGACGCGCGGGTATGCTTGGCCTTCACACACGGTTCACAGATACTCTTCTCTTTCACCTTCTCCCGGACTTCAGCCGCGCTCAGGCCCATACCAGTGACCATTTCATCAGACACGAGCTTCTCTAAATTACCGTACCCTATGTGTCCGAACCGACGATGCCAAAGCCCCGCAGATTCAGACAAGACCGCCAGGGTTTGGACGCACTCCCCCTGGCCCAACCGGGTCGCCTTTAGGTAGTAATGGGTGCCCACCCGCACACACGGGATTTGCTCCCCGTACTCCCACTCCAGGCTTGCGTATTTCCTCATTCGCGGAGAAAACATTAGAGGGTTTCCTGGGCATCGGCTGAAAAGACGTTTCGGCTGCCTAATCACAGCAACCGGTCCACGAAAATCCACATGGTAACCCTTCAGACCTAGTTCGCCTACCGCAATCAGTTTGTGACCTAATCCCGGCGCATAATACACATTCTTTAGGGTTATCTTGACCTTGCCATTCTCTTCCTCGGCTTCTAGCAGAACGGAACCCACTCCAACCGTCCTGCAAACCGCACCCGCCACACCTTCTAGGATGATGCCGTCCGTGAGCGGTCTGTAGTCGCTGAAGTCGGACCGGTCGTCCATGACATGGACGGCCACTGCCGAGTCCATTTTCCACGCCAGCTTGGCGAGCGACTTCTCAACTGTTGCCTGGATTTCCTCGGCTTCGGAGGTGGTGGAAGTGGTTAGGGCCATTACAAGCTGCTTGCTGCGTCGGTTGTTGCCCTTGTTGTTGCCCTTTGTGACGAGCGGGCACTGTGACTTGATGTGCCCAAGAACGCCACATTTATGGCACTTATGGGTTGCGTAGGGGTTAATGGAAACATCAGGCCCGCCAGAGCTGGTACTCGCCCTGACGTTGACGTTTCCCTGACCCTTACCAGCTCCACTACGGTAGTCGCCACCGAAGCCACGGTGGCCTACCCCACTGCTCCGGTTGCTGAACGCCAGGGCCTCGACCTGGGCCCACTCTGCGTTGTTGTCACCTTGCATCCGCTCCGCCAGGAGTAGAGCGGCCTTCATTTCCGAAAGCTTCAGGTCGCTCGGCGGCTTGGCAGCAAAAAGCATCTGCTGCATTTGGAACTTCTTATGCAAACCGCCCAAGATGGCCAGGGCGAATTGGCAGTCGTCGATCTTCGAACCCACTGCAACCATCTGCTCGCGTAGATCTTCTGCTTCCTCGAAGTAATCAACAACGGACTGGCCAGTCCGTTGCTTCAGGTTGCTGAATTTTTGTTTTATAAACAGAATGTTTGCTCCGATCTCGGAGACGCATTCGGCGCGGATCGCATCCCACGCTGCGGCAGAATCGGCTGCTTGATCGATCAGCCGATGAAAACGGGGCACCGTGTATTTAACCAGTTGAGATTTCGCCTTCATAGACTTCTCGGCGACGGCGCTCGGCAGGTCTGCTGCTTCGTCCCACAAGTCCTTGCCGGCCAGGCAGTATTTCATGGCCGTTCGCCAGCGAAAATAATTGGCGTAGCTGTCTAAGCGCTCTACATCGTTATCCTTCCCCATACTTGTCCTATCTCTAAGCCAGAGAATTGCTAAGCCAGCAAGTTCGGACACAGTACTTAAGCAAAACGCTCGCTCGCTTGCCGCGGCGGCGCGGGGCTCATAACCTGTTAAGATATAGGCGAGTGGAACTGTGTAGGTAAAGCCAGCCTTAACCGTTACAGGTATCACAGAACAATCTTTCAGTCAGAACATCATCTCCTTTATACCAAACATTCCATCTTATCTGTCGTACAGCCGTCAGTGTTCTGGCCGAATGTCAACATTTGTGTCCGTGGATTTCCGATTGAACTTATCAGCTTCTTCCCATTTAGGAATTATGAATATTCTGCTGACTGTCGTGCACGTTTACTGTGGCTGAACGCTTCCTAAGGCCAGCGAATGAACGCTTCCGAACGAATGAACGCTTCCTAAGGCCAGCGGTGCATCCATTCCTACATAATCTCTTACGTGACCTAAATATTATTAAATACACTTAATCTTTCCAGATTGGAATGCACAGACCCAGCAGCAAAAAGGAACTGCCGGAAGAGATAGGTATTATCAGACATTTTACGTACAGATTTTTACATGGAGATTAATACAAAATTAATTATATAATATGTAACTCCTACGAGGAGCTGACGAAAGGGCCGGACGGGCCGACTCAAGACCGGGTCAAATAATCCTGCGGACAGAAGATGCGACCTTTCCAGAGAACTGCACAGGCCTGAATGGAAATCCCTTACTATTTATTGCATTTTGCTGTTTTCTATGTGTAATGACACTTGGCTTGCTCATTGTCTGGGCCGTACGAGCTTGGGATTTTTCCTAACAACACTAGTTGACTTTTAATTGTAGCAATTACAAGAGCGCAACAACAGCGAGGACAGTACATTTTGTTGCACCATGAATTTTCAAATATGTTAGACGCTGCTTCGGGGTAGCCCAGGGGTCGGCTAGACCGACCCGCTGCCTCGAAGCCTCACGACCTGTATGTCATGCAAACAATGAAAGTTGTTGTCGCACACAGGCCTCCTTTCGTCTTTGTGACCAACACGTCCACAGGGCCGCTCTTTTCAGGCCTTCTAATTGACCTCCTCAACAGGATTTTGCTTACGGGTAATGCAACTTTCCAATATCACATATACGAGTCCGAAGTAAACGCCGGAGGAGCAGAAATCAATGGGACGTGGAACGGTACGCAAGGCACAGCAGTAACATCGTGGTGGTGCTACTAACTCGGTGATATGGGAGCGTCTTCAGGGCCAACATACTCGTCCATAACTTGCTGTGTATGTCCAAGCAGGTGTCGTCGGCGAGCTCGTGGCCAAGCGAGCAGATGTCGCTCTGTTTCCCTTGACTCGGACTGCTGCCCGCCTCGCAGCCGTCGACTGCACTTACTCGTACTACGATGCTGGACTGGCGTTGCTTGTGGGGTGGGTACCGGTAAAGTACGTGGGACTGAGTTACTGATATTACTACTACTACTACTACTACTACTACTACTACTACTACTACTACTACTACTACTACTACTACTGCTACAGCTACCACTACTGCAACAACTACCTCAACATGCAAGTCAATGCAAGCTTCTGCTCCTTTGCCGAATTTGTCATCATGCACTGGCGCACAAATTCACACGGACAGCACGCAACACACGATGACAATGCCAAAGAAAGCTTCAATCATCTGTGGCACATGCACATGCGGCCATTTGTTGCATCCATGTCAGCGATAACACAGCAGCAGCTTCTTAATTGCCCTGTCGCTGCCGGATCAGCAACTTAACGTGCAAGCTCTGTGATTAAGTCCCATCATCGGCTGATGAATCCTACCGGGGGCATCCCGTCATAAACCGTACTATATAGGACCCTCCTATATATGTTCCTTAATTCGTGACTGTTATAAGTAGCGGCCACGGCTGCTACATACCTCCCCATCCTACAAGATATTCAACTTTGCCGCAATTCGCACGATGCTCTGAGGATGTTAATGGAATGAGCAGCAGTTGCCCTGGCTTTATTTCAACCTGCTGTGATGATTTGAGCTTTGGAACGCATGGGAGGGGGCTGCCTCTTATAACCGAACATTCTCCAATCCCTGTTCTCCAACTCCCCTTCTGTAGTATCCGGGGTATATCATGGGATCTGCATCCACCGTTCAGTTCTTTTCTGGATAAGTTGTGATATATACACCTCCTCCAACCCCTGCAGGAAGAGACCCGGGAGATGGGGTCTCTTCCTGGGCAGTTTGTTCCAATCGTGGCCCTAATCGCACCCCTAACGGCATCCTCCCACAATACGACATCCCCTGACGAAAACAACCCTAACTGCTCACCACCCAACCTATCCCCACGCAACGCTTTGCTCACAGGGACGGTAAGACTGGCCCCGGCCCGCTGTCTGTCCTGGCCCCCTTCTCTGGCCCCCTATGGATCACACTGCTGTTCACTGTGATTGGCGTGGCGCTGCTGTTCTGGGGGCTGGATGCGTACGGCAAGTGGATCCGGAACAAACAGCTCAACACGCTTCAGGTCTCCGGGATGCTTTCCGAGGAAGAGCTGGCGCAAGCGAGGAATGGTGATATATCTGAGGGGACCTGAGGGGGGGACGTGAATGGAGATAGGCGTGAATGAAAGGGAAGAGGGAGGGAGTCAGAGAAGGATGGGTGGATGGAAGGTTGTGGATATATGTATAAGTTTCATGTGGGATGAGAGCCTTGCATTTACCTTCAACAATCAAAGCGTCCTGGTCTCGCGCCCGGCTCTTCTGATATCCCGCAGTTCAGATACTTCCAATGCGTCAAAACCCCTTCCTCACCCACCAACCTCAGGGGACTACAATCCCGTGATGATGAGCTTCATGGCGGCTGCGGGTGCCCCAGAGCGACCTGAACGCAATAGCTGGGGCGTACAGGTGCTGTACGTGGTGTATTGCTTCTTTTGCGTGATCGTCCTATCGTCCTACACCGCCAACCTGACATCGTACTTGGCTGTACGGCGGGCCTACATTGGGATCTCGGGGCTCCAGGCAAGACCCGTAAATTTGGGGGCCGGAAAGCGTTCAAATCAGGGCAGCGGGAGGTGACGGGCCCCGCGACCGCTGAAAATCCTGTGGTTGGTAAAGTAGGCAGGTAGACTTGAAGTCGAGGACGCCCTCTACTGCTAGAGGAAAATTGTAGATTTCTGGGCATATCACATCACGGGATCTGCATCCACCCACCCAATGGTACTTTTCTGGAGTCGTGATATAACAGAACATCCCTGTACTGGATGGATGGAAGGGCCTTTTGAAGTAAAGGGGATGGTAGCTGCTGCAGCAAGCTGATTTATGGGGAGTAGTGCCTATCTCCTTTTCTCTATGTCCCTCTCCTTTTTTCTTGAAGAGACCCTCCATGCTGAGTGGAGGCAACCCAAATGCCGACGATTACTCTCTTACTGGCATGGTGTGCCTCCGTCCTCCTGCCCCAGGACCTGGTCAAGGAAAACGCACTGGTGGGGGTAAACCCCAGCGGCTCCACTGCTGCCTACTTCACCGCCAGCAAGGATTCCCTGGCCATGCAGCTCCAGCAGAATGTACTGTACTGCAATACAGCCACCTGCGTGGAATGGGTGCGACAGGGAGTAGTGCGGGCCTTCGTAACCGATCAGCCGGTGTTGCTCTACCTATCGCAGCGGCAGCCTTGCGATGTGAGGGTGGTGGGGGATCCCTTCGGACCAGGTAAGTGTGTTGCGTCCGTGTGTGTGGGGGGGGCCCCAGTACGGAAGACGGAAAGCACGAGTAATTGTGCAAGGGGCGAGCTTGGGGGTTGATTTTTTTGGGGGTTGAAAAGGGTTAACGGTCCATGTACATATCCTGTTGACCAGGACGCCCTACAAGAGGCTGGGGGTAGGGTTGGGTAAGAAGGGTTGGGTTGTCTTTCCTGCTTCGCACTAGTGAAGCTCGACATGGCGTATGTAAGAAGGATTCAGCTCCATTGGCATCCCCCTGAGTACTCTTTGCCTGGTTTTACACTGGTACGAATTGCTAGGAGGTGGGAACTCCCCGGATCGAATCAGGTTGCGAACGTATCGCACACCAGGCATGATGCAGCATACTCTTACCCCAAAGGTGGATGCCCGGGTGGGTGAGAAGTTTACCAGCTGAGTTAAAGGCCTCCACCCCGGACGGGAACTGACGAAATGTCATAATAACAAACAACTCACAATCCTAGAGGATCTCAAATAACCAAAAATCCTATGGGATACACGCGGGGACGCCCGAGGACGTTCGAGGGGGGGTGGAGGAGTGTAAGAAGGGTTCAGCTCCCTTGGCATCTCCTTGACTATACTCTTTACCTGGTGTTACGCATCGATGGATGCGCCACTTCTAACCCCTGATTGGAAGGGCAATATACACGTTACGGCGTCATTGTCTTGGGATGTTGTTTCGCATTGTATTGCTTAGTGTCCGCGTTTCGTGCTGCCACGGGCGGACTTGCTGTGCTTTTGCTGCTGTAACCACAACTCCCTGCACACTCAATACCCCCATGTTCGTAATACCTCCTCCACGCCTCCATCACTTACCCCCTCGCAGGTAACTTGGTGATTGGGCTGCAAAAGAACTCCTCTCTGCTGCCGTTTTTTAACTCAGCTCTGCAGGTAGGTAGATGTAAGGGGCGTTGTTCGGGGGCAAATGAAGAGGAGGATATGAAGACGAGGCAACCTATCCGTGCACTGCCCAGCTACCGCTACTTTGCTTCCCCCCCCGCCGGTGTGTCTGTGTGATGGTGTCTACCATGATGGGTCTATATCTACATATGCCCTCTAGAGGGTGGATCTACCCCGTCTGCCATGCATCATGAATACACCCACTGCGCGTCCTGTTGTTGTCAGTGCTGCTCCTCCATCCTCCCTGCGTGGCGCCTCCGTGGCCACCATAAGTCGGATATGATAACCACCATATGCACTGTCCTCCGTATGATTTCCACGCATAACAGACTCACTCTCTCGTCACATCGCGCCTCATCCCCTCCGCCTTCCACCCGCATCTAGAGTTTCCGTCTTGGCATTGCTCATGTCCACCTGGCTTTCTGCTTCCGAACCTCTTCCGAACCTGCTGGCACGTGTAATATTCTGGGCACATCATGGCATCTGCATCCACCGTTCGCTTGTTTTCTGGAAAAGTCGTGATATAACAACATCTTGGTATCCCGGTTCTGACTCGGACTCAATTCCCATCTGACTCGGACTCAATTCCCATCTGAAGCGGTTATTTTGAGCGGGAGGTGGTGCAGCATAACTACAGGATGACCGCTGGTTATCCTGTGGCTGCTGACATCATGCAGGGACCCTGTTATATCACGGCTTTTCCAGAAAAGAACCGATCAGTGGTTGCAGATCCCGTGATATACCCTAGATACTACAGACCCTGAGAGAGACAAAAGGTTGAGGATACCCTCTACAGTTAGAGGGGGGATAAATGTGGTATCCTGGGGGTTATATCGCCCGGGATTCCGAGATCCACCGTTCGGTTCTTACCTGGAAAAGAATATACCTGATATAATAACATGGTGCTTCTTCCCAAGCACCATGTTCGCATCAGTTGAGTTACTTTCCCCCTCTCCCCAAACCCCCCGTCTGGGTTGCACGCCGCCTGCCTGTGCACCTGTCCCTTATCTGTCCTCTCCTTCTGCCGCCCACCATGGATTCGTTCCCTGTCGACGAAAGATTTTCTCGGAGGACGGCACACTGAGTTTGCTGCGACGCATCTGGTTTGATGGACTGAGCCAGTGCGATGGCAACGATGCTGAGCTGGACAGCAGTCGTCTCACCATTAGCCAGATGATTGGGGCCTTTGTGCTTTTGGCGATTGGTATCCTCATTGCCTTTACCACCGGCACTGTGGAGAACCTGAAATGGTGCGTGTGTATGTATGTGTGTGTCTTCGTGGGGGTTTCCTGGGAGGTGGAACGTCTGCAAACGTTTGATCTGGTATATTAAGTGGGGATCCGTCCATGCGATTCTACCAGGGTGCGATCTGTAGAAATCAATACATGTACAGAGGAAAGGAAGCTTCGTTTCCTTAAGGGAGCGAGACGGGGGACGGGAGACGGGAGCGAGAGGGGGGACGCAGGACCGACTTTGGGACCCAATGGTGTGTGGAGACACGCAGGATATTGAGCACATTTGCATGGTGAATTCATGCTGTAGTAGCTGGCAGCTGAAAAGGCCTTTCGAGGTGCTGGTGGACGCGCTTAGCGCGTATTTGTAGACGTTATGTGTGCCGTACCGTGTACCAGCTACTACACATTCATTCATTCATGCATTCATGTATTCATGCATTCATGTATTCATGCATTCATGTATTCATGCATTCATGTACTCATGCATTCATGCATTCATGTATTCATGGACTCATTCATTCATTCATGCAGGTGTCTTGCTCGGACCTATTCAAGGTCTTCCTGTTCGGAGCACAGTGCCCGGGTAGGTGTACACGTACACCTTAGCACACGTGCTAAGGCTAGCGGGGGCTGAACCAGTGTTTTTTTTAAGTAATATATTCCTTTTAAGGAATAAAGAGGCCATTTTGGCCTTTGGAAATAAGGAACAAAGTGAGGCCAATCCGTACATTTTCATTCCTCCAGCCAAAAACGTCCATTGTTGCCAGCGTGCTCCGTAGTGTGCAGAACTTAGTATTATCGATCATAAAATAGGTATGAGGGGCCGTAAGAAGGTCAAGCCCGTGAGTCAACGCGGCATAGCAGAATGTATGACCGGTCCTTACAGAGCCAAACACGCAAAAGGCAACGACTTGAACGCCGAACAAACACCAAAACAGCAAGATAAGCCTGAAATTTTTCCTGATAAAGGCGTTTGGGACGGCGGTGCTGTTGTCGGTAATGCATCGGCAATGTTGCTGCCAGCGGCGACCGATGACACGGGCGCCATTACCCCTGCCTTCCATGGCGGTTGTGATCAGCATAAGGTTGTTTGCTTTGGGCCTTTGCTTGGTCGGATTTACTTTTTGTTCACAAAGAGTGCCAGAACTATCTATGCATGTGCATGAAGAGTGCGCACATGAACGAAAACGCGCCAACGCAGTGTGTGCCTCTTGGTCTATGAGGGGAGTTGTAACTTATCTGGGGGGGACTGG